ATATATCTATCTTTTGTTGCAGATGCGAAGTGCGAGCTGGCCCTGAATATATAATTAGAAAATATACATTTTTCAAGAATGGCACGTTTCTCCTGTTACGTTATCATTATGCCGAAGAATCGTGCAGTATAGCGACGCACACTGTTATAATTCGCGGTTTCATCAAGTTGCTAGGATCGTCTGCCATCGTTTCTGGCGCTACTGAAACGAGATTTCACGTGGATACCATTAATATTGTACCTTTAAATCGACAGGTATAATATTTTCATTTTGCAAATCAATTAAATTCGAGATGCAAACGTAAAGTAAAATTATTGTAAATACAAGAGATGGATTGTGCATTCATTCATGATTCATTAAATGATGGTATCAAAGATATCCTAATAATGTTATACATAATTGTTATACATAATCATGTCATTATATAAAAGGCGCAAAAGAACGAAATCAAATTGTTTAGTAAAAATTAATTTCACAGGTCGCTCACAAGTTTGGGCATAGATTGAATTTGACTTGCGGCCCCCAGCCGAAATGGCGACCTTACATTCCCGAAATGATTTACGAGCAGCCACGGCAACGCTCGGCGGCATCATCATGGCAAGGTCCAATCTACAATTCTCTGCAGATACACTCATCAGTGAAGAAGAAGCTGGGTATGAATTGTTTAGAGCCTTTCGGGATCGAATTCGCCGAATTGAAGCTGCTGAGAGTGCAGAAGAAATCGTTTGGAAGCTTATCCAGCAATGATCGGTACCATAAGCTTCCACAATTTCAACTGTTTTTAGCCAGCCCAACATCCAACATTCATTCTCGCTGGAATTACAAACCGACTTCCTTACAGTCTACCGCTATGATCCGCGCCGACACGGTACGTTTTGGCCCTCACGCTCTTTTCGCAGGCTTGGAAAGTAACGCGTTACCATTATTATTATCTTTATTATCTTTTCTCTGTAATGGTAACGGTAACATTTTTTTTTTACAATAATAGTAACGAATTTAGCATTATTTTTATTGTTACTCAGTCTCCTATTAACTTTTGTATGTCTATTCGATAAATAGCTAATAACAGTCGGATCACTACAATTATTCAATTTGTGACTTGTATTTTCATAATTATAATATTCCAATGATGACTTCAAAAATAGAATTTTAACTTTGGACTGCTTTTTTTCGCCATTCAACGATGAAACAGTTAAAAATTCACTTGACATTATATCATGATACAAATAAGATGTATTAATTCCTATATACTTTTATTTGTAACGTTTAATTATTTTCAATAAAAATCTTAATTATTTTTATTGTGTACAACCTGTGATATGATTAGATATTTTTGATGTATTGTATCTTTCTTTCTAATGTTTAAGAATTTTGCAAAATTTATTAAGGTAATTGTTTTCAATATAAAGAAAAGCTCGTCATATAGAGACACTAGCGTAGAATTTTAATATTAATTGTATATTTAATATTAATATTAATTATATACGTATATATATATATAATTAATTTTAATATTAATTATATATGTATATACATATATGTCAATGTTACAGGCGAGCGATTGCCCGATATGCAGCAGCGTGTCTCGGAGTACTGAGTTCAGTCCACCTCTTCTTCATCAAACGGCAGCTCTACCTGCACTCATCGGAGGTTATTGGCACAGCGAGAGATGCGAAAGTTCCGAGGGCGGTGTCTGGTCCAAACGTCAATTTCAGATACACTCGGGAGATAAATTGTGGACCGGTCAATGGGACTATTACAATGATCCGCAATGTTCAACGTTTTTGTACGCGATAACTGCGGCTGGAAGTTACATCCAGCGAACTGGAAGGCAAAGACGTCACGAACAGATCGATGATCGAGAAACTTTTCTCGACCATTATCTCAATATCTCCACAAGACTCTTGTTCAAAAGGAGCGTTATCAATTCGCCAACTACTCATCACACTATACAAAGCATTATATTAGATTTCTATCGAAACAAATTTTATCTCGCAAAAAACGGATCGAAAAACAAGAAGCGACCTGTATATACAATAGATAAAAAGGTACAAAAAAGACAGGAAAGATCGTTGACTGATGACATTCATCAACTGTTGCGCGACGAACAGTCTATAGTTGAATCAAGATTCGCAGCGATGCTACGAGGTCATCAAGCATACGACGAGACCACTACCAGAAAACCTTTTCCCACCTGGAACACCCTCACTGGTACTACGGAATTGGATCTACACATTGCCGAGAGCATTTTGATTCCTGGAGACGCCACGATATCCACTCGTTGTAGCACCGTTGATGCCGCCGATCGACGCAGCCTCGGCGTGCCGCTCATTACCTGGCCGAGAAATTGCGTACCTCATGCCCTCGAAGCGCCCTCCACATTGGGACTGCGGGCCAAACTGGGCATTAACTGGAACGGTCAGTACATCCTACTGTTGGGCTCGCGAGATGACAATATGTGGGAGGCTCCTCTGCGTCAATGCGCGCAGATTCCACCCCACAATTCTGTTCTGCGAGCGCATCTTCGGAAAAGTATCGGTCTTCGATTCGGACTGCTCTCTGCTTCAGCGTCATCAAGTCGACTCTCCGCTTGGTGTCTCTTATCGCGAATTTTATTGTGCTCCATATATTATCTCGTACGACGGTGATATCCGCCGAATCATTTACTTTTACTAAGGGCATTTGGATTCTTCAGAATTTAAGAAAGATATTTGATGTGAAATAGTTTATTCATAATACATGGAGTTTAATAAACATTTAAAAATTTTCTCTTCACATTTTCTCTCATGGAAAATTTCATAGGATCGTAAGCTTGTACATATGTGTAAATATATTATAGACTCGAAAATCGAAGATTCACAGCAGTAAAACTTCCACAATAAAGTGGTGTAATTAAATCAATTATTATTATTACTTTTCGTTGCGTATTTGGAGCGAAAGTTTAAATCAATCAAAGTTTAAAAGAGCGCTGTATAATAATATTGTTTGTGGACAAAAGATAGCCATGATTACGATTGTATCAGATAAATTTAGAATTTACGCTAATAATTATATGCTACTCTCTTTCTGCGATCGCAGCTGTACTTTAATAAACTTGAGTCACACACACTATACGTTGTCAATTCGTACAACACAGCTAGATCCAATAATATCCTTTCAATTATCCCTCGCACCGATCCTAATTCAATCCTGTTGGATTTAATAAATCCGACATACGTAATGATTGTGAGTACAGATCATCACTCTCGTTTTCTCACACGTCTCTACTTTTTCGTTTATTCCAGTCAATTACTCCAAAATCATTAATCAAGATACTAAATAGTAAATATCAGTTTCGTCATCAAAGCCCGTACTTACATTATCATGTGTACCGGGGTTGTAAATTAATCTCTCACGGTGGAATTATGACATACATATGACGGTATATTTGCAAGTCAGCAATACCAGATTGCGTTTGTTTCTCGTTTCTTACACTAGACGAATAGAGATCAGGGAATGACAGACGCAGAGGACGGGAAGCACACTATATGTATCGCGTATCGCATTATCCATTCGGTACTCGTAGAAAAAGGTCGATTCGTTGATTCATTCAAAATTCACTCAAGAGACGAGACGAGGTGAAAACAATGGAGAATCCCTTCGCCACTGGCATCACGTTTAGCCAAGAAGCGGAGAATTTGGATCGTTTTATGTTCGGATGGTTCGACTACACGCTCTTCAGTCTGCTGCTGCTCGTCAGCGTTCTTATCGGCGTGTACTTTGGCTTCTTCAGCAAGCAAGACAGTACAACGGAATATTTTCTGGGTGGTAAACGGATGGGATGCTTTCCTGTCGCAATGAGCATCATCGCTAGGTCAGTGACTCCTCGCTTCTTTTCGATAAACAAGCGGATTAATGAAAGAACCTTACGGAACGCCATGCTAGAGATCTGAGAGATATACCAAATAAAATATCTCGCATGACTAATATTCCCTCCCGGTTTTTCTTTTAATTTACACATTTTTCCA